CCCTTCAGAGAAGCAGCATTTGTTTACTAGTATGCTTCATCATACTACCAAAGATATACTTTTCTCCTAATGCGAACCTGACTCTGCTGTCCTCCGAGGATCAGCCAGCAGGAGGGTTACCTGTGGTTCAAAACTGAAACAAATGCAACGTATTTTCACTTACAAGGCAGCAAAACTCCAGCCACCCTTGAAATACATTATCTCAGTGTCTCTGAGGACCTGTGTTCTCCTACTGAAGCACTAGCCAAATAAGAGCTGTGATGACCCAGTCCACTCCTGGAAACTATGTTCACACTGATGATGGACCGCAGCGCCAGGCTGGAGGAGCACACACACCGTGGGGCTTTCAACATAATGTCTTTGCATTTTAATATTTCACATAGGACAAAGGCCACCCATGAACCAACACAGACTGAATGTATCAGTTTCACTCCTTTCCCTCTTGAAATCCTACAAAGATGCTATTACAAGTTATTTTTTAGGGCTGGGGATTTAGCTCAGCAGCATAAGCGCCTGCCTTGCAAGTGCAGGGTAGTGAGTTCGATCCCCGGCACAGATTTTAAAAAAAAAAAAAAAAAAAAAGGAGTTATTTTTTAAAATATGTATGTGAGTAAGCTCATACAGGGTCTCAGGGTTTAGAGTACACAAGGGTCTGAGTTCCATAAATGGCACAAGAGGAGAAAAAAGCAAAAGTAAATACAGAGATACAGAAAGTAAATCAGTGGTTATTTACAGGATTTGGGAGAACGAGGGAGTGAGAGCTAAAAGTACAGAATTTTTCTATGACATGAAAAAATGCCCTGAAACTAACTGTGATGAAGGTTTCACAACTATGACTGCTAAAGATTGTATGGCATGTAGATTGTATTTCAAAAACTATTATAGCCAGGCATATTAGAGCACACCTATAATCCCAACACTTGGAAGACAGAGGTAGGACAATCACAGAGTTGGAGGTCAGCCTGGAATACACAATGAGTTCAAGGCCAGCCTAAACTACAGACCCTGTCTCAAAATACAAAAACAAAACATACAAAATATGTGTACCCAAGCACACAGCAGAGAAGATAAAATCAAAGCTAAAGTCATGGAAAAGGACTGGAGAACGAAAGAGGTCAGGTGGACAAGTTCCAAGCTGAGGTCCAGAGAAGGCTGGGCGCAGGTGAAGATGTCCAGTTCCAGAAACTCCAGAAGCTCAGGCCCTGGGAGTCTCAGAAGAAACATATGCCAAGGGGAAAATGGACACAGCTGGACAGAAGTGAGTCCAGGGAGCCCCTGACTCCTGCTCCCTAGGCAGAGGGAAGAGGATGCAGGGTCTTCTTCAAACTATCAAAACCACGGATGCTCCACGGTGAAGACTGGATTGAAGGCAGAACAGAAAAAAGTCATGCATGTCCCTCACCCCGTCTTAAGTTACTTTTCTCTCCTTGCTAAGACAAAATATCCAAAGCTAGAGAGAGAAAGGTTTATTTAGCTCACAATCTGTAGAGGTTTCTTTCAGTCCATAATCCACTGGCTCCAAAGCAGAGAGCCATGGCAGACAGGCATGGCAGGAGGGAACCAGCTCATGGCTGGCAGAAGTAGCAAAGCAAGAAAAGGACCAGCATAGCTCTTTCCACTTCTTAGACCTTATCTACGCTAGTCAGGGTAGGTAGCACCCACACCCTTGATCCTAGCATTGCACCAAGAATCAATTCTAGCATCACACACTCTAGAGCCAGCCACCTCTGAAAAAGCCTCACCTACAGCAGCACGAGGCTTTGAGGGGGACATTAAACAAACACAAACCATAACAACTCTGTCCCCCAAGCAGCAGCCCACAGGCATCTCGTAAGACACACAGCTTTAGTGAACAGATTCCAGACACTGACCTATGGGATCCTCTAGGGAGAGTACAGAACCTCAAGGAATTATAAAGAAGCCAGCCAGGCCTGCACAGCCTCATCGCTAACACCCATCACCAGGCATAAAAGGTCCAGCACAGACATCACAAGGAGTGGAACAGAAGAATATTATATGCATACAGTAATATCCTCTGAGAAAAATATTAAGAGAATACTTTTAGGAATCATAAATACTTCTAACAGAAACAAAAGATAAAATAGGTGGGAAAAAAGTCAAGAAAACCAGGATATCTCTCAGAGTAGAGCCCTAAAAGACATTTGGCCAAACAGAAGAAAACTGGCATAAAAGCTAAAGTCTGATCCAGTTGGTCAACAACTAAGGAGAGTATTCTAGAAAGAGAAAATGCAGAGAGAATACTGAGAAATAAAAGGCTCTACAGAGGGGCCAACTTTAAAGGGCCCTTGCAAGGCTGCCAGACAATATACAGGACACCTAGCTACTATAAATTTCAGATAAACAACAATAATCTTTCAGGGTAAGTATGTTCCATAGTTTATCTGGGCCTCCTGGATTCTGCAGTTGCCCAATCTGGCAACGCCACCTCTACAGCCCAGCACAGCAAACGGAAAGGTCCACAATGCAGTACAGCCCAGCACATCAAACGGAAAGGTCCACAATGCAGTGTAATCAGACCAGCAGAAACACATTGGCAGCACAGCAAACGACAGCACAGGCCTCACTGTAACCCAAACACAAGCCTGACAAATTTGCAGGTATCACTGCAATCCTCGTGAAAATCAGGTACACAGGGTACCTTCGCCCCAGACAAAAGGGCCCCTGCACTGGGTCTGGACCTTGGACAACTCACTCATTTATCACAAGCATGAAAACAGGTTTTTTTGTTTAGTCTCAGTAAAGTCTGGTCTTGTGACTTTGGAAACAGGCTCAGTGAAGGTGTGCAGGTCACAGCCTCTGTCCCAGGTCACTGGAGAAAGAGTAATAATTTGGAAACATGTTGGGATAAAAAAAAAAGAGAAAGAGTAATATTTAGGCAGGCTGGGCATCCAGTTACATAAGCTCCCAGACCTGTCCTTCAACACAAAAGTAGCTCAGGGCCCATGTGAGGTGTGAGGATGAGGGAAACACAAGCGAGTTTTGCTAGATAGAGAATCTATCCATCAATCCAGGCTCCCTGGAAAGCCTGCCTGCTCAGACTACCACTCGGCACAGTGGGTGCGGCTGCAGCTGCTCCCACCTTGAGATCACCCAGCTGACGCAGCTGTCATTCCCCCTCATAGTGTCCCCACATCACCCAGGGGCATCTGCTGGACCGTGGTGTAGAAGGAGATGCCTGGGGCATAGGCAACAGGCCCTGGGTGGACACGGCTGGCCACAGACACAGCTTGATTTAAACCTTTTAAATATTTAGGCATATGGTATATACCTTTTAAATATTTAAATGTATCTTTAAATATTTAATCATACCTTTGAAATATTTAGGCATCTAGTCTCCATTTATACTTTAGCCCCAGGTCCTACAAACATTAAGGGCAGATCTGGGGAACATTGTTATTGTTATTATTCCTATTTAACTATTAGGCAGAGAAAGTTTAAGTATCTTGCTCAAGGACATATGAACAGTAAGTGACAGAGAATGGATAAGAATTTGGCCGTCTGCCTCCCAGGTCCAGGCTTGTAATTTTTTCTATAACATCAGTCCAAATTGAAGGAATCCAAATTTAGTAAGCATAGGATGTTATTTAGAAGAAAATAAGTAACAAGAACAGATCAAAAAGTTCAAATTAACTGCCTGATTATAACTGGAAAGCTTTACTGGGTTTGATATGATAACATACACACACACACACACACACATATTACTTTGACAAAAACTTAGAATGGGTAGAAAGAGTTCATTAACCTAACTCCACATGTCTTGCCTTTCTATAAACAACTTTAAAATCATCCCCTTCGACCAGCCTCATTCCTCCAAAAATGCCCAATGTGGGACCATCGCTTTTTCCTCATGCAAAAAAGCAGACCTGATACACTAGGGAAATATTTTACTCGTAATCCTAACAGTGTTCCTGTGTTTACAGTGGTCTCAAAAATGTTTACAGTGAAACACAGCAAGTTCTATTTGTCAGAAAATATTAAGTAACTGAAAATCCAGAAAGAGTAACTTTAGATTATAAAATTAGATTTCAAGATTACATAAGAAAGATTATTAGATATATATATTTTTTTAAGTCTATTTCTGTCTCAATGCATTTAAGATCCTTACTCAGCAAGGGCTTTAATAAGAAGTGGAGGACGAAAGAAAAGCTTCTGTTTCTAACAACTTATATATTATATATATTCCAGAAAACTGCATAGTTGATAAAATTATTTTTTTGATTAAATTATTTATTAATTCAGACATAGAGAAGCTCTATCCAACTTACCAAGTCTAAGAGCCCACCTAATGAAACATGACGTGTAACATAATGAAATGTTACATGACCAAGATCAATATCAAAGAGAAATTCAAACCTAGAAAATTTTCAGTGAAATTATTCAAGTCCTGGGGAGAAAAGCAGAAGAAAAAAGAAAAAAGCTACCACCTAAGCTGAGCAGGCTTTGAAAAGCAGGGTCAGCGTAGTCTTTTCTGTCTCCACCTCGCCAGACAGCCCACGTGTGCCAGACAGCACAACTGCACAGGGCCAGGTCACTCACATGTTCTCTTCTTCAACATCACCTGCTCTGTGTCAGCCTGGATTGTCTTCCTTCCGTCCAGAGCCCCTGACAGTACCTCTAATGGATTCATTTTGGCCCTTCAAACCCTGATTCAGTGTACTGGTCTTTTCAGTATTTACACACATCATGTGTCGCCATCTTACTGAATATCTCTAACGGCGGATTTGAGATGGTTTACAGTAAAAGGTATGTACACAGCATCACAAAAGAAAGAAGGATATAAAGCTATATTCCTATACCAAGTAAAAATAAGGACGGACGGACGGACAGATGAATGGATGGATGGATGTGCCAAGGACCACAAGCCTTTTGCTCTCTCCACCCTCCATCCCAGACATCGGTGGTGGTAGGCCTGGCTGAGAAGACTCACCAGAAAAATAAAAAAATAAAATAACTATTGCATGGTACTCAGCTCTTACCTGAAGTGCCCAGAGGAGGAAAGTTCAAAGATACAAAGTAGAATCAAGATTCTCAGAGGCTAGAAAAAGGTGAGAAGGGAGAGTATTATTTATGTTTTTAAGTAATTTATTTCATGCCACTGAACTGTATTCCTATGCGTGGTTAAAATGGTAAGTATCCATGTATATTTTACAACAGTTCAAAAAACACTACTATACCAAACAGGGAAAACAAGTTACACTGAAGTGAAAACTAAAGACTTTAGAAATGTATTCTCATGTCTGGTGCCCTCTGTGACATCATTAGGGTCGTCCCAACATGACGGTAGCAAACTTAAGAACCGACAATGTGAGGGTAGGGAGCCCTGGTTTCAGGATCTGTCCATTTCTGTGACTTAAATCCTCCCACCATGGACACTGGAGGCAAATGGATGAATGGGTAGGTATGTGCCGAAGTCTTCTTTCTTTCCCTCCCTCCTTCCCAACGTGAGTGGTGGCCTGGCTGGTTAGAACTGAGAAGAGAGAACGCAATGGGCTGGTAAGCCCAAAAAAGCCAGGTCCACCCACAAGTCACCTGTGTCACTGTTTCCAGAAAATATGCACAGAAATTAGGAGAAAAGGAGCATCATCTAGGGTCAGAGAGGCTAAACAAAGTTTTAATTGGTTTCTTTACCACAAGACTTCCTCAAATCTTCATTCCCACTCTCCTTTGAGACCTTGAATATAGTAATACTCATTCTGAGTTACAGAGAAAGCTGGAGCATAAAATGATCACCAGACTGGTCTGACTTCCACACCCTTTTACTCCTCATGGCATTTCAGGGATGTGCTTGCTATGCCTTTTTGAGAAACTCTTGCCTTCAAGAAATGGGTCTGCTGGTTTGCAGTCAAGCACAAAGCCAAGACAGCCGGGCCTCCAGGAGAGAACTGGGCTCCCCCGAAGCGGAGGGCTGCAAGTGACTCCTGTGATTGGCAATTGCTGGACAACTCAAGCTGGGCAAATCAATTTGGATTAAACTGTAGCAACAATTTATAGAGTAAAACCCTATAACAGAGTCTCTGTTGACAGCCCCAAGGCACAGGAATGAAAGGAAAAGAAGGGGTAGAGTGAGGCAAAGGTTCCTTTGTCCTTTACTTCAGGATTGTAACTTTTCTCTAGAGCCCTAAGATGTTTAAAAGACCACAAGCTCTTAGGATTCCGGTAGCCCCCAAAATCTTAATGTATATTTAGCCTCTAAAAAATCCCAAACGGGGAACAATAGTAAACTTGACAAAAATACCAAGATACCTAGAAAAATCAAAGGCAAGTTCTATTTTTATGCTGAGTGCCCCAAAACCAAGGAAGACTTCAAGAATAACAAAGAGGAAGCAGGTAAAACGTAGATCAAAGCTGCACAAAAAGCAAGTGATACAAGACAAAGAAAAATAGGATGTCCACATGCCTAAACCTGGCAAATTAATAAGCAGAACAAGCCACACAATACTGAATTGGACTGTTAAGGATACTGTTTTTCACTATTCTATTATTTAAATCCTTCCTGAAAACAGGGAAGTCTACTTTTAACAGCAAGCATGTACATTTCTTTGCAAACATGTTCCAAACAATGGTAAGACAAATAGGGGGCCAGATGAACAACACAACAATCTACCACACAGGTACTGGGGAGAGGGGCGAGCTGCAAAGCAAGATTTGGTGGTGCAGGCCTGTAGCCCCAGTGGGAGGCGTTAGTCCCAGACCAGCCGGACCACAGAGCAAGAGAGAGCTTGTCTCAGAAAAAAGAACAAATGGCCCACGGTGCATCTCTTCCTTCTGAAAGTAAGCAATCAATGGCTTTTATCTCACTATAAAGGCAGCAAACACTGGAAACTCACAAAAATTAAAGTTTCCTCAGCTTTCCCAAAGGATAGGGATAGTCCAGAACCAAACCAGGTAACCCACAATTAAAGACCTACGACATTCTTTCCCCATAAAAGCCCAGCTTCCTCCCACTTATATCTTATGAAGCAAAACGCAAACCCTTTACAGATAAACAAAGTATCAAGCGGAACATTTCACAGGTAGTAAAGTTAGGCTACTGGTGGTGAATTCATGGCTCCATGCTGTTTTTCTTTTGAGACAAAAGATATAATGTAAGAGTCACTTTTTTCTCAAAACCTCAGTACCCAGGTTTAACTGCAACATGGGCACTCTGAGATAAATGAGTTTGGGGCTGCAGTTTGGTCACTTGGTCTCTGAACCGTTCACCACCACTGAGGTCATCAAAATAAGCACTTGGATCCCAATGTTTGTGCAAGTTCACAATTACTTCATTTTTTTTTTTCTTCATTTCTTCCTTCTTTTTTCAGTTTTTGAGAAAGGGTATCATTTGGTAGTACAGATTGGCCTTCAAGTCACTACGTAACCCAGGCTGGCCTCAAACTTGGGGCACTCCTCCTGCCTCTGCCTCTGCCTCCCAAATGCAATAAGCACAGGTTTTTGCCCATTTCTAAAAGTCAATTACTAACTTTCCCGAGCTGGGGTCTCACTATGTATTCCAGGCTGGTTCTGCACTCACTGTATAGCTCAGGCTTGTCTTGAACTCACTAGGTAACCCCAACTGGCCTTGAGCTCTACAACTATGTAGCTTTCAAACTTGCAGTAATCCTCCTGTTTCAGCCTCCCAAGTGCAGAAATTACAGGCATGTGCCATCATGCCCAGTTTAATTACTAACTTATTTATTAATAGGCAAATATCCAAGGATGTCTAAAGAAACTCACAGAAACTCCTAATTATTCTTTTTCTTTGAAGTAAAAATCAGAAGTGGCTGAGTTGGCAATCTGGAATAACAAGTTTTCAGTTTACTAATGAGCATATTCCTTAGGAATAAACGCACAGAGCATGACAGAAACTATAAACCAAGAACTCATCACTAATAGCAGAAGTTGAGTTGTTCTGTCTGGATTTTCCTGTGGTGGTGCAGTCCCATTTCTCTGTCACTTCCACATTCCCATTCAAGACCTTGCAGTCAATGAACATTCCTACTCCACTGGAATCATTCCAGTTTGAAAACTCAAGAAACCACTTAGCTAACAAACTGCCACGTAGTCAAGTATCTCTCTTTCATTCCTGGATTGCATTGTAACAATAGTGCATGATCTTTGCTAGGCCCATGAAACCCAAAAGAATGAGAAACTGAAAGCAAGAGCTTCTGAGGGGCCAAATTATCAGAAACTGTGGTAACACTGTACCTGGGACACACTCAGTCATGGTGGCCCATGCCTATAATCCAGCACTCAGAAGGCTGAGGCAAGAGAATCACTGCACGTGCACTGCTAGCCTGGGCTACACAGTGAGTTCAAGGCCAGCCTGAGCCACACAGTGAGATCCTGTCTCAGAAAACAAACAAACAAAAAGAAAAAAACCTAAAAATACTGGGATAGAAATCTCTAAACACACATGCATATGCCTAAGTACACATGCACACATAGCATCTTAACATTACAGCAGACTCTTTTAACGTGCAACAATGTATCACAGATACTGCTCCATATCCTATGCATGCTCCTTCCTATCAGGCTTGCTTCTATGTCAATTCAACAGGAACAGCTATTCAAGATTCCCATTTAAATTTACACTGTGGTATTTTCTAAAGACAGTTTAAAGTCAAAGCTAGGAGCCCCAGGAGACCATTTCCTAATTCTTACACTTCAAAAAATAACCAGTAAGAAACATGGTGTTAAGTTTCACTCATTTGCTTTAAAATTCTGAATATATATATTCTAATTCACATAACAAAATGGGAGAGGAAGGAAACAAAAACATTCACTCGTGTTGTCAAATCATAACCTGTGCAGCTGAGATACAGTTCCGTGGTACAGGAGCAAGGCCCTAGGTTTCATCCCAGCATCATGCAAAATCATCTTCCTCATCACCTTTATGTTAAGCATGTCTCAAGGAAAAACTTCCGCCACTCCATCATCCACCAAGAGACTGCACGCACAGGATCACTGCAAACTACACCTGCCTATGGTACGTTAGTGTTTTCACTGTCACATTCCTGAAGAATCCTGGCCTGAAAAAAACCTTCTAATACAAATAATAAACTACTTCAACTCAAGGAAAGAGTGAACCTAAAAGTTAATCTAAGATTAGAGAGAAGGCTAACTTAGTATCAGGCTAAATGAGCAATAATCACATGGTCAGGCAAGCAAGGTGGTATACACCATAATCCCAGGGAGCAACATGGGAGACTGAGGCAGGAGGGTCTCAAATTTGAGGCTAGCCTGAACAGCTTAGCAAAACTTGGTCTCAAAATAAGAAGTTTATGGTGGCAGGGAGGAAAGCGAGAATACAGCTCAGTGGCAGCGTTAACTGCTAGGCAAGCACAGGGCCTTAGGCTCAGTTCCCAGAATTTAAAAAAAATACTAACAAAAAAAAATATGTACAATCAATAACCAAGAGGGATTAGTCCCCACTTACAAAGCATGATCCGTTTTATCTGGTGAGTTTTAAGTTTTCGTTAAGTACAAGGGTCCCAGGTCCCTGTTAAAAGGAAGAGAGGTGCAGAGGTAACAGAAGAGGAGAGAAAAGGAAGAAGAAGAATGAGGAGGAAGAGGGAAGAGGGCGAGACAGAGAAGGAAAAGAGAAGGGACGGAAGAAGCTCGAAGACACATCACAGTTAAAACGCTGGCTGGTGAGAACACAGATAGCACCTGCCCAGTAATTTCGCACTCGCTTACGTCTTAAATTTCTCAAAAATAAACATGAACAAAAAGGGGAGGGGAAGGAGGGAGGAAGAGCAGGATTACTGTAAAAGAACAAACAGGAACCATGAATATTTTGGTGAGTAGTAACCAACTACAGTTGAAGGTCAAAAAACAAAAACAAGCTGGGCGTGGTGGTTGCACGACTGTAATCCCAACACTGGGAGGCTGAGGCAAAGGGATCACTGCCAGTTCAAGGCCAGCCCCAGACAGAAGGAGTTCAACAGTGAGATGCTGTCCCAAAAAAAGTAGAGATCTTTAAGAAGGTAGTAACCACCCTTTCAGCAAAAAGAGCCAGGAACAAACAGAAGCCCCAAGGCACTGTAACCACCTTCC